CCCCCCCCCCCCCCCCCCAACCATTGCTGGGTGTTACACTTTATAAATAAAAGATATATCCAAACAAACTATGTGTTTAGGTGTTGTTTAATTATTATAATTTCCTTCGCAAAACAATTAAAATGTGTTTCGCCTATATGTAACCTACAACAGATTTGAATGGGTATGCAGGCAGGTCTGCACCTAGGGAGGTGGGATGGGAACCATGGCACTTGTCAGGGCCCGGAGCTATAGATAGGGGCACGACCTTTTAAAATATATGTACATGTCCGAACTCTGTCAGCTGCCTGTGGCCCAGAATTTGCTAGGTGTGGGCCTGATACAGGTTTTATTAATTATATTTTTAAATATAAAGCATTTACTCTCTCACAAATTTTAATAAATCGAATAGAAACCTAGGGGGGGGGGGGTGGGGGAGGGGTAAAGAATTTGTGATACTTTATGACTTGTGACAGGGGGGAGGGGGTTCTAAAAAGGTCTTATTTTAGCGTGACGTAATTGCGAAAGACCCCTTGCTTATTTGCGGGGTCTTTTGCGTTCACCGACCAAAACGTGACCGGATACACATTATAAAACATTTTTTTTTTTAATATCCTTTATAAAATGTCTTTCGCCCCTTATTTCTAATTAATTTATATTTTAAAAATAAGAATTTTTAATTACTGTAATAATAAAAATTCTGAGTCAGGTCATAGTTACGCTGTCTGCTGTAATCTAATAAATTAAATACGTGTGCTTTACTAACTGTCTTTTTGTAGTTTTTTTTTTTAAATATATATATATTTCGCTAATCTTCAATGATTCATAGTAATTATTAGCGCAAAAGCGATAGTCACTAGGAAGCCTCCGAGCCTAATCATGACCCACTGTTACAAGTGTAGGTCTCGGCCTAATCGATGAAAAAAAAAACAACAAAAAACAGTACTACAGTACTATTACTTTTATCGCTTGAGCGTGACGTTGCAGGTTGGCCAACTTTGGCTATGTTATATAGCATTATATACGCTATTTTTTGTAGCTTCTTTTCCAATAACAAGAGCAACATTTTTTATTTTATTTATTTTTAAAATATATTTTTAGATCATAAAAGTTAACAATGAATAACATCAATAATAAAGTATGTTTATTTTATTACAGAATAATGCAATTAAAAAAAATAATTTTTTTAGAAAATATATTTGGCCGTAGATTTCTAGTAAGCAGATCAGTGTTTACACAATAAGACAACTTCAATTAGTAATTACAATATCAATAGAAACAAAGCATCACTCTGTTATTCACTGTAAGCTACTGTTGGTCAGTGTTTAGTAGAGCAATAAGTGAATTTCTAAAAAAATGTGTGTGTTTTTATTAGGTACCAACTTATATGCCGTGTTGAGATGCTGGAACCTAGAACCATTCAAATTGTAGATAGGCCTATTTGGCATTAGGTTAGGGTAGTCTATCCAGAATGTAGTGTAGTGTAGAGAGGAGCTACGCTGTACTGTACTGTTATCCATAAATGATTTGACTGTATTTAACTGTGTTGTATAGTCAGACGGTAGTCAGTAGTGCAGTAGCGTGTTGGGTATGTGCATAAATAGCAAACATATTTTATGTTAAGTCCGAGGCCCAGACATATATATTATAGGCCTCTATTAAAATTACGCTAAATGCTACAAAAATGATTTTAAATAAATATACAATATATAATATAGTGAAATAGTATAGTATAGACATGGGCATGTAAATAGGCTCATTAGCCGATACTTAGTGATCTTGCTTGCTAACTAATACTAATAATAGTAACTTTTACTTATTTTACTTAGGCAATACTTTACAAAGCTGATCATACTGAAATAATATTCTTTACTTATTAAACTTATTATTTATGTATAAATACTAAAGAGTAAAATTATTGTTTATTCCCATGTCCACGTCATGTGCAATTCCAACAAAATATTAATTTTTAATTAACTAACACATTTTATGTCCAAGTTCTAAATACTAGTCTAATCTAGAAATTATTCAAAGAGCTATCTACTAATTTATGCAAAAGAATTAAATAAATTTATTTAAATTATCATTATCAAATTGACCGCTGGATTCACTGGCCGTGGTCGTGGTATATGGAGCAAAACTATGGACTTATTCAAATTTATTACCTGCAAGTGCCAACTGAAAAAAAAAGTATTGGCCTAGCGTGGTTTTGAGATATTGACTACTACTATTACTATTATGCTAATTATACTATTATTAAACGCCTGTAACTTGTAACTGTAAGATAGATATGCTCTTGTGAGTCTTGTGTGTTCTTGTGGCAGTGTTAACAGTAGACGTCATCATGTTTGGGGATCTATTCACAGACATTTATTGTTTTACCACACCTTTTCCCTTTTATTTTGTTTAGCATCTAAAAAAATACGTTCTATAATTAAAATTATTATATTCATATAATATATTGAAAATTTTAACCATTAAATATTATATATAATAATAATATATATTAAACTCACTTATTATTTTGTAGTATTCTAAATACATAATGTGTCAAGTATTAAATGTTTTAACTTGTTCAAGATGGGCTAGACTTTAAACCATACACCCTTCCTGCAGCTCCCAAAATATTTTATTGTGAAACCTGTGATTATCACATCTCAACTTTTGGCACTGAACCAAAGGTGGTGTATTTGCAGGGATGGTGATATTCGCAGATTCAACCAGCATGAGGAAATAATTTGAAAGAAGAAGACATGCCCATTGAAAATTAAAAGAAATGAGAAAATAAACAGAAAGTGCAAATTTACATGTATATATTATATATAATAACCACATAACTATGAAACTGAGCAAGATTTAAGTGTGTTAAAAATTCTGCAAGTGGTTAATTTAAATTAAAAGTTAGCCGGTACTGGATAAAAACTTGCAGAGGCCCAAATGCATTCAAAATTCTTCTCAGTCTTCCCCCCAAATTATCCATATCCACCACAGCCTGCAGCTTTTGACAAATCTGTTATGAACATCAAAAAAAAAAAAAAAATATGAAAATGTACATTCTAGCCATTTTGACTGCCTTGCTTTGATTTCACTAGGGTTGAAGAAATTTACAGACCATACTCATGGTTCATTTACATCATTCATGTAGTATCCCTAACTTATGATTTAATCTCATCTTCCATCATAATAATTAGGTTTACTATTACTTCAAGTTTAGTTGATGGTTTGTCACATTTCACAATTTTTGTCTCAGTTTATAATCTATATATGAATTTGATCTATCAACTTCATCCATCGTTTATTTTAAATAGGATCTATTGTAAACGTAAAAATGGTTCGAGCCTGGTACATGGATGATTCTGACTCTGATAAAAGAGAGCCACACATGTTGGACCCACCAGTATTTCTAAGCTTAGAGGAACTCAACAAAAAAACCGGTGTGGAGTATTTCAAGGCAACTACATTATTTAATAATTTAATGTACTAAACCTTTATGCTCTCACTGATGATTTTACTTGGTTTCTGTTAGCCACTTACTCAGGATCAGGGTGGCCAACTCAACAAAAAAATAACTTACTGACAAATATTCTAAATATGCATACTTTTTAATTTTTTTTTAACAGACAAGCATTTTTCAAATAAACTTACGAAGCTCAAGAAGTAATTTCAAATGACCATTTGATTAAGTTATTGATGGTTATGACTCTTAAGTCATTTGACCATGAGGTTTGAGTCTATTTCATAATCTTATTTTGTGGTATAGGATTTTCATTAATGTTTAATTTCTCCTGATTAATTATGATAATAGAAGTTTCTAGCAAGTAAGAAGACTTAAAATAAAGTGAGGCATCTCGTACTGTTTCACATCAAAAAATTTGTGAACAATGCCTTTTTTTTTTATGGATATCTTACAACACCCTGAAGAGTACCCAATCAGTTATTGTCCAAAGCATTTTTTTGATACCGGTACCCCAAGCGAATCTGAAGTCATGTACTTTTTTAAAATGTTACATTAAAACATAATGTAGGAAATTTTTTTCTTAATATTTGCAAACAGTTTGATGCAGACACATGGGAGTTGAATAATGAACTTGCAGAACTGAGAAAAAAAAGAGGGTACTCTTTCGAAGATGTCTGTGAAATTTCAAAAGACACTTTACCAGATTACGACAACAAGGTAGTGATTTGCTATTTGTTGGTCTTACAGAATCATAACAACATGCTCAAAACATATTTTCAGAAATACAGTGGTCACTGGTAGAAGTGACAAGTTCTACAGCAAAACTAATTTGAAAAATATTCTTTCTGACTTTTTTGTTAATTTTTAGAAAATGACAAACAAGTTAAGAGTTTTAAAAGTAGAAATTATCACCAATCCACCAGAGTATGACATATACTAATTTTGCATGAATGATATTTATCCATAATCTGAATTTGAACATATTTTCACGATTAAAAACCTGCAGTCTTCCATTCAACAAACTGAGAGCGAATCTGTGAAATGTAGTTTCATGATTTTTTCAACTTTCAAACTTGTTTAGCAACTAGAATTTTTCCCCGTCATTATTTTAAAATGGTATTGAAATTTAACTTTATAAACTCTGATGCTTTCTTTTGCTCATTTTCCTATACAATTTCAGGATTTCTTCAACTTTTTTTTTTTTTTGAACAGCTCAAAGCCTTCTACACTGAGCACATTCATTCAGATGAGGAAATAAGATTTGTGACTGCCGGCTGTGGATATTTTGACTTCCGTGACCGTGATGACAAGTGGGTTAGGGTTGAGGCGGTCAAAGACGACTTGATCATTGTTCCAGCCGGTATTTACCACAGATTCACACTGGACTCTTCGGTAAGGGTTTTCGTCAAGTTTAAATTAGTTTTTTTAAAAGGATTTTTTTAAAAATTCACTTTGGTCTTTATTTCTATATTATCTGGTTACAATTTTTTTTTACAAGTGGTTAAAAGATATTCAAATAAAGAAAATTAAAAAGTGTAAACACATCTGCGAACTTGGTTATGAAAAGTTGAAAAGTAGGCACTTATATAAATGCTTTTATCTTATTGGAAATTGGTATGGTTTTCATTAATTTCATTTGAATGGAATAGAAGAGGCTCAATTGAATGAAAAATATTCTCACCTTGGCCACTTGGGTCTTTGCAAGTTTTAATGAAGGGACACAGGTACTGAATGAGTGGTCAGATTTTGTCAATTTAATGTAAAAAAATAAAATATGTGATGCATACCTTCATTTTTATTAATATTTCCACACAATTTGCTTCCTTGAATGGCTCTTTTGCTGGAAGGAATGCAGTCTTCAATTAATTAGTTATATCCTTTCTATATCAAATACACTTGAAACATGATGTTAAACTAAGAGATTCAAATCTTTATGTGCTCAGAACTACATCAAAGCAAAGCGTCTCTTTGTTGGTGAACCCACTTGGACACCCATCAATCGGCCTGGCGCAGAGGATCATCCTGTGAGGAAGGATTACCTCAAATGCATGGCCATTGTCAACTCATAAGGCCAGGTGATTTTGGGGGCATTTACATACTTCATATGTTTGTGAAAGCATATAAGTCTCTTTTAAACAACTATTAAATTTTTAAGCAGTTATATTTTATATGTAAATACAGTGTATGTAATTTTTACATTATTTAAAGTTAAGGTTCGTTTTTCAACTTTTTCTTTAAAGAAGTCTGTGACTCAGTCAAACAAAAACTCTCAGAAGAATTTCCTTGAAAAATTTTGTAATTTATGTATTTTGATCTAAGTGAAGCAACTTTTACACATTGCAAATTTATTGGCATTAATCCACTTAAGGTTGTTTTCTTGCTCCTTCTTGTCCATTTTTATTACATACCATGAAATGCCTTAACTGCATAAAAAATAACCAATATTTAAAAAAAAAAAAATAGAGTGTTTTTATCACCATGATTTCTGTTGCATTATAAGATAATTTTAATGTTTTTTTTTTTTTTTAAATTTTTCTCACAAGGATTTGAAGGCATTATCCTTTTTTTTGCATTTAGTTAATTATAGGATGCTCACTCTGTTTTAACTTATTTAGTGAATCATAGGATGCTCACTCTGTTTTAACTATTCTTATTTATGATAAGCAGAATCAGACATTTATTATTATGCAAACTGATTTGAATGAAAATGACGATGTGCCGCAGGCTATGCTGTGATAGAGCATTAAAGAAAAGTATTATTTTTTCATCTACTCATCTGTTAGCATGTTTGTGCCTTGTGAGATTTGTCTTACCCATTTCTCATATGAAGGCGAGAAATTTTCTTATTTTAGCTACATGTTAACCTACTAATAATAATATTACATAAGTGAAAGTGATTTATTTTACTAAATTCAACTTAACATTACTAGAAAATGAGGTTATCCACTCAAAAAAAGGGTTGGATTTTGTGACCAAAAAAAGAGTGTATTTTATTAAATATTCAACAATTTAAAAAAAAATTAAAATATTTATCACTTCCAATGTTTAGTTAAATCCTCAGAAGGATTCTAATGTTATTTATAAAGGGTTTTTGTTGTGCTTAAAAAGGTTGTATGACTAATGCAACGAAAGTCTCCAAAGTTCTTTAAACATGGACACTGACTATTTCAACACTGACCTGGACACTGACTATTTCAACACTGACCTGGAAACTGACTATTTCAACACTGACCTGGACACTGACTATTTCAACACTGACCTGGACACTGACTATTTCAACACTGACCTGGACACTGACTATTTCAACACTGACCTGGACACTGACTATTTCAACACTGTGTGAGAGATATGTTTATCGAGAGACATGTTGTTAGAAAGAATATAACCAAGATTCCTAGCAGAGGGTGTAAACTGTATGTCGGAGTTACCTACTTGAAATGAGGTGGGAAGAGTTGAGGTAGAGGATGATTTGTGATTGTAAATGAGAAGTGCTTCTGTTTTGTCAGTCATCATTAAGCTTCAACTTGCTGAGTGTCATCCAAGACTTGACATCATCAATGCACCCCCGCAAAGTCTGGACAGCGGAATCGACAAGAGATGGATGGGTATGCATGTATAGCTGCGTATCATCTGCAAATGACTGGTTCTCAACAGCATGCCTCCCGAGCAAGAGGAGCAGTGGCCTGGTATACATTATGAATAGAACCGGACCCAAAACGGACCCTTGTGTTTTTGTTGTGCTTCAAAAGGTTGTATGACTAATGCAAAGAAAGTCTCCAAAGTTCTTTAAACATGGACACTGACTATTTCAACACTGACCTGGACACTGACTATTTCAACACTGACCTGGACACTGACTATTTCAACACTGACCTGGACACTGACTATTTCAACACTGACCTGGACACTGACTATTTCAACACTGACCTGGGGTATTATTTTTTGGAACACAATATTTTAATTTAAAAGTATTCTGCCATTTATGTCTGTGTATGTAAACTTGGTTCAGTTCCGTGCCAGACTCAGCACAAGTCTAAATCTGTCTTCAGTGCCAGACTTAGCACAAGTCTAAATCTGTCTTCAGTGCCAGACTTAGCACAAGTCTAAATCTGTCTTCAGTGCCAGACTTAGCACAAGTCTAAATCTGTCTTCAGTGCCAGACTCAGCACAAGTCTAAATCTGTCTCTGACTTAGGTAGCATGGTTTCTTATATCAATTAATTATTTACTAAAGAGAGAAAATATGTCTCATGATAATTTTGTTTCATTGCTTGTTGTAATTTTTTTTTTTTTTGGCAGCCTTTGCAATGTAACTTATCCTGCTATTTTAATTATGTGGTTCATTCATTTTCATGTTTATTTTTCTGCAGTAAAAAGGGACTTTTTGGTCATAATTAAATCTTGACGTAGTGTTAACTTTCACTTTCGTATTGTTAGCAGTAAAATTTCAGTTGCATAGTTGCATATCCTAAGTGATAAATCAAGTAGGAGCCAAAATGATCAATAAATTGATCGTGGGCCCTTAAGATATAGAAGAAGAAGTAAAACATTTTATAAACAGGATAAAATTGTTTTTAAAAAAATAATTTTGACTCAGAGGTTCTTCAACTTGATAAAATTCCAAGGATCTCTTCTTATTACAATTTACTGGGATAATCCCATTCTGCTAATTATAAATGTTCTGGAGAATCAAATGTAGTGTGATGCAAAACATGGCTACTACAAAAACAATATAAATACTTGTACAATGGATTAAACTGGATGTAAATTTGTAAAGTATACTTTCAATAATTCAATTAAATTTTTTGATGGTTTCCAGTAATGACCTCAGTTATAAGAAATGGAAAGATTGCTGCAAACTATTTTTAATGAATTATTTCGTATTTACTGAATATTGGCCAGTAATTGATGCATTAGAACTGTTGATCCATGGGGTGTTTGTTATTTTTATTTACCTGGTATTAGAAAATCAGAATTTTCAAACACGGCATTATGATTTTCATTTTGGTGCAAGTTTTAAAATGTAACCAATCAATGTATTGTACTTCTTGATTTATTAAAGATTTTCTTGTGAAAATTTCTGATACTTTGCCTGTTCATTTTAGTGAGAAACTTAGTAGCTTGAGGGTTAAGTCATTGTTTGTACACTTGTTTGTACATTTCTTCTATTATTTCTAAGAAAAAGAAGGTCCACCATTATGATGACCTAGGGTAATCTCTGTTTGCCTTTAAAGTGTGTACCTGTATATCTCTTAGGTGGGGAAGACTGGTGTTGGCTTTTGGGGTTGTTGGTATTTCAAAGTCAGCATAAAAGTTCTGGGTTAAGACGTCATTCACCTAGCTTACCCCCATTTAGCACTAGAAGTATCCAGCCTTTAAAAAAAATGTTCTTGCCTAATTTTAAATAAAACTATAATTATAAATAATGAAATTTAGTCAACAAGACCACAGACATTCTCAGCAGAGGCATGATTAAATATTATTATACACAATTAACTTAAAATAACTGTCTTTAAAAATCACACAGATGTTGTCTTGCTACTGACAGTTTGTGTTGACCAGATCAGTTACAACCAAGGTGTTTTGTGGGCTATCTTAAGGTTAATTCTTTCATCACTAGTTCATTATCTTCTTTTTTTTTGTCTTCATTAGTTATAGGATTGCCTAAATATTCTCTTAACTTTAATGCATTGTTAAGTCCTATCAAACATTTTTAGGCAAACCAAAAAGGCAATACAGATTTACACAAGTCTATGCTTTTCAGTAGCATGGCCAGGTTTAGTGCCGCCAAGGCTTCCAAGTTTTTCCTCAGGATGGCTTGTGCTAGACTGGGAGAAACTCACACCACTTTGCTCGAGGTGGTGTGCACGTGATCTGCCTCTTCGCGGCGTGGAAGACTAGTATAGGGCATGCTCCCTGAAGCCAAAAGATCACAAGTCCCTATCGAAAGACCCACTGAGCTGGGGGGGGGGGGGGGGTAACGCAAAGCCCCCCTCCCCGGGGGGGAAGAAATTTTTCTCAAACCCAAAACTACCTTGAAAAACGCATGAGTTTTTGCCGGTAATGGGTATGAGGTAGTGGGTCCTAAACCCTTGCCAGTGATTAAAAAGACGTGGCCCTGAGAAAGCCACCCCTAGGCGACCGTTTCGTCCCGACATGTCCAGCCCGAACAGCTCCCAGAGCGGTGGGTCGAGGCAACGCAACGCCTCCCCCGGAGAGGAAGTTAAAGCCGTTCTGTCCGGTCCGAACAACTCCCGGAAAAACGCGGGTTTGAGGCAACGAAACGCCTCCCCGGGGGGAAACAAATCGTTGGGAACCCAAAACTTGGCTCAGGACTCCCGGGATGGTGGGAGTTAGTAAGCCAGCAACTACTCCCGGAGAGGAGGCAAAGCCGTCCCGCACCAAGGAAAACGTACAGCTCCCGGGCGGTGGAGGTGGTAACGCAACGCCATCTCCGGAGCGGAGGCGAAGCTGTCCCACACCAAGGGGAAAACGGACAGCTCCCGGGCGGTGGAGGTGGCAACGCAACGCCACCTCCGGAGAGGAAGTAAAGCTGTTCCAAACCCCTCATTTTGCTCAAGGCCGAGTTGCATGGCCGGAGTCCCCAGGGACTACTAGGCTATGTTTCACGGCCAAGGTCCTAAGAGATAGGCTCTCGACCTCCGAGTATTGATCTTTATAAGTGCCGCCAAGGTTTTTTGCCATCTCACGAAGTACTCTGCAGTTGGCCAAAATGCTGATCCTAAATATATTATAGAAAAACGTGTGGCCCAAGGGAGAAAACCCCTCTCCCACCATTTCTGTGCCCATTGATTATTGTATTGTGTACTTATGAAAAAAATATTTTCTTCTTCCTGAAAACACATTGTCTCTATAATGTGCATGACCCAGCAAATACAAATGCACAAATGAAGAGGAAATATAATTATATTAAAATGTTGAATTTTTATAAAAAGTTCCAGTATAAAGTTACCGGGGTAGTTTAATTTAATGATCTTATTTATATTATTATTATTATATTCCTAAAACACAATAATAAGAAAATATGAGCAAGATGAAGCTGATGGTAAGTTAGATTTCTTTATTGTAATATAAATGTCAAAACTCAAGTCATCTATAGTCAATACATGACGAACCATGGTGACAAAATGTCTAATTCAAATAGCCATTGGGTGATATTAAACAAACAAAAACATGTCTGTACTCTGTATGGCATGTAACATAATGAACATGAGCAGGACATCTGGTCATTATAAGACATCCTGACTTCAAAAACATCAGTAGCGTTACTCTCTTTACATCTATATTGAATTGGATTTTCTGAATAACAGTTTCTTCTTAGCTAACATACAAACAGTAATTGATATAAAAAATTATTTCAAATACCGGTACCATGCATTTCACTGCAATTAATTATTTTTTTATTTTCCACTTTATTTTATGAGAAGTTCTAAAGCACAAGATTTTTAATGTACCAGGTTTAAAGAAACAAAATACCTTAAGCTTTAAAAAAAAAGTAACTTAATTTCGTGATGTTCCATTTGATAGACAGACAATTGCATAAAGAGACCCTGGCTAATTTTGTTTATCTGGACACGCCATTTCAGTTATATCACTGACTTCAGTTTGTAGCGGATATCTTACTCTATCACAAAAATTTAACACACAAGTGTCCTGTACATGATGACAGGCTGGTATATAAAGAAGTTAAACCCGGTCCTATAGTTGAAATCTTGCATAAATTCATTTTTTCCAATCCTACTCTTAGAGACTAAAAGTTTCCCACAAATTCATACAAGTCTGGCCACTTTCTCACAAGTCAATCAAAATTATTCACAGGAAAGACAAATCAAAATCTGAAAGTTACCAGAAACAGTCTATTTTTTAAGTGGTTAGTGCGCCCAATGCTAAAGAAATGCCATTTTATTTTTTGAGTATCCATTCTGACAGCTCTTCTATTCAAAATAAAAATTTCATTGTTTTATTCAGCATGTTTACAGTATTAAGATGTGTTGTGCCTCATAAACTGTTTCCAACTGGATAGCAAACTATGGTCTATTTGCATGGAGAAGAAGAAAAAAAAATATGCACCAGCTGTTGTTTGTTTTGATAGGCTTGTTAAATTCAGGTTATATTTAGCTTAGCTACAGCACAAGGTTCAAACTGTGTGACTAACTGGTGGCCTGAGTTAATTTGGATTCAAAAGTGTGGCAATGACCAGGAAAACAACAACCCAATTGTAAAACAACATAAACAAGAGGCACACCTCCAAGCATTTCATCAGTATAGACAAATGACACAGCAATCAGGCTTGAGCAGTGCTTATAAAAGTCATTCAATGGAACTTCAATAGATTTACTTATGCCCCCTTATTTTGTAGACATTTCACATCCATCAATGAGGTTTTAATTATTGGGAGGGGAGGGGGAGGATCTTTTTTATTGACCAAGAGTCAACAGAAGGACAAATTCAGCCGCAAGTGGTATTTGATTTAGGCCCACAGTGTAAGCAGACTTGTATGATAAGGCAAGTCAACTTTACTAATCAACAAGCCCTGAGCCAGAAAGAGACTATCAAAATATCTGATATTATCAATCTTAATAGATTGGTGCACTTTCACCATGAAATTAATTTTCTGAATCAATTGTCGACTTGTAACCCATGGGTCATGCTAAGCTGTTCAAGTGGTCAACGACTTTGAAAGAATTAAAATATTAATTTAAGGAAAATACAACCATCTCCTAAATTTGTCGCTTCACTGTAGTAGAGCAATAATGATCCAACACTTAAGAAGATCATTGATGTAATATAACATTTAGACTTGTAAGCAATCGGTATTTCAGATTTTTACTTTTTGTTATATTTTCCTGAATTGAAAAAAATAAAGAAAGACAATTTAATCACCACATATTTTGCCTTTCATCACATAGAGTTATTCTTTTCATTCCTTCAATATATTTACTGAGGGGAATTATCTTTAAAAAAATGTATCCAACATTAAACATAATTATTACTTGACTGTACAGAAATCATTTCAGTTAACATCAATTTGATCAAACATATACAGGAGCTTTACTTCTCAATATTTGAGTACCATTTGTGCAGAAAAAAAAACAAACACAGGAATGTCCAACCCATGGGTGGGCTTGAGACTAAAAAACCTTTGTCATGAACCATGGCTGGCAGTTGAATTTGTCAAGGCCATAAGTGTGGACACTGTGCCTGTGGGTTGGACAACCCTGAACTAAGATGAAAACATACTTTTCAAAATGATATTATCGAAAACATTCAAAAGCATAATAGAAAATTACAGCCTCCCTTATAAGTCCCAGTTGTTACCAGCATAATTAAAGTGAAACATTCAATCAACGAAATCCATGTAAGAATGTGCAGAGAACTATAAAATGTATCAGTGAACTAAATGGACAAAAGGACAACAACAAAGACATGAGGGAGCCACATGAAAAAAGGCACACCAGGGTACACAGACTTTTTTTTTGGCAGTTACAGTTTCAACTTTGACCCTTACAATCAGAACAAATGGTCTGCATCGATGAAAAAGGTGGCAGCGTTAAAGGAAAGAAACAAATTAAAAGCTAAAAGAAATCAAAAGTTCAAATACCATCCTCAAATCTTAGGTGCACTAAGTGCCAATTAGTTGGGACCAAAATTTGTTGAAAAACAAAAAAAATAATTTGCATAATGCACATCCGTTTACCATGCTTTTCCTATCCTATTTAAATCATGCAGTACACTAATGCACTATTGGGGGGGGGGGAGAGAAGACGAATTGCTTGAAACTAAAACATTAATCTGCAATTACCTGAGTGAAATTACATTTGCCTGGTTATGACAATGAATTCATTTAACACCTTCAAACTGATGACACGCTGCAGTGCAGCTCTTCAGTTTGTATTTCTGACAGGTTTAAATGCTTGAAATACATCTGGTCCCTTTCAGGCATTTCTGCTGTTTCACTGCTTCATGTCAATGGGCTTCACTGGTAAACATGTGTCAAATGTGACAAGACAAACCATTCTTTTATTCTCACTGTAATCACTTCAAAACAAATAGGTGGCGT